CGTGGTCAGGATCCAAGCCAGGCGCACCGCTTCGAGCCCGTCCAAAACAGACATGACGCCGCGGGGCTCCCACGGCTTCTTGTCGTCCGTCGCCACCAGGTTTCCCCCGACGATGTGGAGGGAGCCGGCCTCCTTCTGGGGGACCGCCAGGCGATTGAGCTCGTCCCCGGAAGTCCAGGTCCTGGCGGCCAAAATCTCGCCTAGCAGGAGCGGCGCGTAGGACTTAGAGACGGTGTGCTCGTGATAGATCCTGGCGAGTACCGCGTCCGCCCCTGCCAGGCGCCTCGTAGGAAAGGACCTGGGCTTACCATCGAGGAGCTTGTCGTCGCCTGGCTTGGCTCCATCAGGGCGAGGGTGGCTGCGCGGGCCAGGCCGCGAGCCCCCAGATATCTCACCACGACGTCCCCCGCCCCAGCCTCAGCGACCAAGGTGCGGAAGTCGACGAGGGCGGCGGTCGAGGACGAAGGCGCGGCCATGACCAGTCCGAGGGACAGGCGGGGGAGGGGAGGGGGGGCGGGACCTGGAAGGAGTCAAGAAAAGGCTGCGACTCGGTCACGGGCAGTAGCCGGAACAGCCGAAGGCGACAACTGAGCCGCGCCTTTTAAACTCCCCTGGCTTCTCGGAAAATCGGCCCGGTCGGGCCAAGGGTCTTTGCCCGGCGTCACTCCAGCTCGCTGACCTCCTCGTCGTCGGCTTGGCTGGGGTTGCGGCCGCACCAGCAGACCACGCACCATCGGGCCCGGCGGCGTTGCTCCCAGGCCTCCGCCCGGGCCTGGGAGTCCTCCTGGAGCCAGTCGATGTGGCGGCGAGCATGCTGCCACATTTTGGTCAGTGCCCAACTGTCGTGCCGGGCGGTCTCGGCCGGGCACCGGAGCAGCGAGCCCGTCCCAGGTGATTGGCAGCCCTCGAGGTACGGCCGGACGCACACCGGGCAGGGTGTCCAGGCGTATGACCCTGAGGTAGTTGGCCGCCACCTCTGACGGGCCGAAGAAGGAGAGAAGCATCTCCCATGTCCGGTCGTTGTGGTAGACCGCCCCGGCGAGGCTGGTGCGGACGTTAAAGTCCTCGGGGTCGCCCACACGGACGAACGGGACCGTGAAATAGCCCCCGGCGATGTGGGCCGGCATGGCTAGGCCAGGCGGGGGAGGGGGGGGAGGCGGGCGAGGAGAGTGAGCCAGGGAAAGCTGAGCGCCGGGCACAGACCGCGTGACAGTAAACCTCAGCGCCTCTAAATACCCGGCTTTTCCGGACGCGCCCCTTGGCGTCCAGGGCACGAGGCCCCAAGTCAGGAGTCGGAGGTCGATTGCCCACCCGACGTGGAAGAGGCATCCTCTCGCCCCCTCCTCGCGTCGGCGCTTTCGCCAGACGAGGAGCCGTGAACTGAGGCCGGGCTGGGCGACTCAGGTTCCTGGCGGTGGGCTTCGCCCGGGAAGCAGCGCTTGCACAGCGCCGCGCCAGGCGGCGGTGCCGAAAGCCGGAAGAACTGGCGGCAACCATAGGGCCAGCCGCACCCTGCCGCCCTCCAGGCGGCCCTATCAGCCATGGCCTCCTGGGCGTCCGGTCTGCCTCGTCCTGGCTAATGGTCGGGCCCGGCGTCCCCCGCCGGCACCGCCCTGGCCGGGGCCAGATCCGGCACACACTCGAAGGCCGGGCGCTCGGACCCCTCTCCCTGGGCAGCCCCCTGTGCCCCAGGTGGGCCGTCTTCCTGGCGGTCTTTTGCGACCGGGCGGGTATCAGCTGCATCTCGCCCTGTTCTCGCGACCTCTCTCCCCGACGGTGCGCCCAGCGCCGGTCGGGCTGCTGGGACCCCAGCGCGCGCGCCACGGACCCCGGCGCGAGCACCAATGCCGCCTGCGTACACCGCTCGATGGCCCTTGACGACCACCGGCCCAGCAGCTGGATGACGGCCAGAGGGATGCCCTTGACGGCCAGGAAGGTGGCCCCCGCCACCCGGCAGGCGTGACCGCCGAAGATGTTCTTCTCCGCCCCGGCCTGGTCCAGGAAGGTCGTGGCCAGGCCGGCGGCTCGCAGGACGGCGTTCAGGAAGTGTACCGAGTCCTCCTTGGACCTGGTCCCCCCCCCCGTGCCCGGGAAGAGGGGGGCCGAGGACGCGAGCAACCCGGCCGCGTCCATCCGGCGCAAGTGGCGGCGTGCCGCATGCAGCGGGCAGAGAGGGTGGGTCGTCGCCCCGCAGGCACAATGGAGAGACCTGTGGGTGAGCGTCCTTTCGCCGCCCTGCGCCGTCTTGTGGATGGGCAGCCAAGTCGCCCACCCGGGCGGCCGCGACCTCGATCTCGCGCAACATGAACCAAACGGCGATGATGTAGACGTCCACCGAGTGGGCCGGGCGGGAGATGTCGAAGGGCTCGGCGTCGGCGAAGGCGACAAGCGGCACCAGGGCGAGTACGGGGAAGGCCTCCTGAGCCCGGAAGGCCCCGCACCACGGACCGGATGATCCGATTAGCCAGGCGCCGCAGGAGCGGGTCGACGGCGATGCGAAGCTCGTCCTCCTGGTGCCTGAAGGCGGCGAGGAAGTACTCCTTGGCGCTGCGGTAGGCGCCCTTCTTGAAGCCCGCCCCGATGACCTCGAGGACGTGCGCCGAGATCGGCCAGTGCGCCACCTCGCCCTCATAGGCGAGCCTGTTCCAGGTCTTGAGGCGTGACTCGTATGGCCCCCGAGTCGTCTTGGCCAGCATGTCGCCCCGAAGCTCGGCGATAGCCCTCTTGACGTTGGCCGGGCGAACCGCCTCAACCGCGGCGGCCAGGGACGCCCGCGCCTCCGCCCGCCTGGCCGGTAGGTCGGGCCTGTCGGGGCCGGCCGCGACCAAGGCCAGAGTCGACACCGCCCCCCGGCGAGCCAGCATGGCTTCGAGAGCCTCCGGCGGCAGGCCCGCCGCCACCAGGCCGTCATGGCAGCCCACCAGGCCTTGGAGATTGCGCACCCCGGCGCGAGCCAGGAGCGGCAGGTGTTCGGCCTGCCCGGCGCGGGTGGCCTGTGCGACCAGCTCGGCGAAAGAGCCCCGTCTCGGCTCGGCCGCCATTGTGCTTGAGCCCTCGAGCCGGTCGAACCCAAGCAACCAACCCGGGCTTAGGGAAGGGAGGGAGGGCACAGCACAGGCAAGACGGCGCACACCGACCACTCTTTTTTGAAAAACAGGCGCCCGGCGTCAGGATCTAGGCCCGCAAAAGGGCGAGTGGCGCAAGGGCCCTCAGGCGGCGGCGGGCGCGGAAGATCCAGGCCAGGCGAACTTGTAGAAGGCGAGCTAGTCCTCAAACCGTAGGCCGGGTCGCTCGGGCCGGCAGGCGTCACATTCGTGGTGCTCGTGTGGACGCCCGCCCACGAACAAATAGCACACCGGGCGCAGGCACCGGACAGCGGCCAAGATGCCCCGACCTGGGGCCCGCACACCCCACGAAGCACCAGCCGACCCAGGCGAGGTTTTGACTGTCCGGGCGGCGTGGAAGACGAGGACAACGCCCTGGGTCACCGTCTGGGGCTGGGGCGAGACCGCCCCGGCGCCGATTGCCTGCTCCAGGGCGACTGCCGATTCCCAGGAGTTTGCCGCCCAGCCCCGAAGTGTCATCGGCAAGGGCGTAGCTGCCATAGAGGCGCCAGGCTCGTGCAGCGGGAACCGAAATTCGTCCCAGGCCAGCCAAGGGTCGGAAGACGCCCGCCTGTGGGACCGCTGCTCCCTGTTGCGGCTGCCGAAGTCGTGGCGCCCTCGGCCGGCCATCTCCAGCGGCGGAAAGGACGCCTTAGGCGGAGGCGGCACCGCCAAGAAGCCGCCCCCCTGGGCCGCCGCCTCGGCCTGGAGATAGTCCTGCCACGGCGACTCGGCCGGGCGCAGGGCGGGGGTGTGTGTCCTCCACCACCTGGACCCGGCGATGGGCCTCCTCCAGACGGGGGCCCAGACGCCCTATCCGCCTGTGTGGCCTGGCCGGCGGCCGCTGCAGGCTGTTGGGCTGGTGGAGGGCCCATGGCGCGCTGCTCCGCGAACTCTCTCTCTATGCGAGAGGCCAGGGCGGTGTCGTAATCCACATTCTCCGGCAGCTGGCAAAGCCCTGCCTGGCTTCTGGCGGCCTGCTCTTGCCGGATGAAGGCCTGGCGCCGGAGGTATTCCTGGCGATGTGGATCCACCTGCTCCTGATCCTGGGCGGCCTTCCTGGGCCTGGTCGGCGGTGGCGTGGGCCCAAGAGTAGACGCCGTAGACGAGGGAGGCGTCGTAGGGGCGCCCGGCGCCTCCTGCTCCAGCACCGGTGGTGCCTTCAAGACGGCCTTGGCGATCGAGCTGCTGGCGGCCTCGGGCGCAGGCGGCGGTTGCGCCGCCATGTTCGCGGCCCGGTGCTTTTGAAGGCCGCCGGCCTCTGCGGGAAGGGCACCGGCGGTGGCTTGACCGGCGAGCTCGACATGGGCGCCGGCGGCGAAGTAGTGTCCGGCTCCAGAAACGGCGGCGGAGGAGCCTTAGCCACCGTTTTGGGCTTGGCCGTCGCCAGGCCAGGCAAAGCCGACGAGGCCGCTGGCGCCCCTTCGACGGCGTCGAACTCGGCCAGGTAGGTCGTGATCGAGTCCCAGTCCGCCTCTGGGCCCGGCGGATCCGCGACGAGCAGAGACGAGGTCCTGGCCGGAGCCGGATCACGCCCTTCCCAAAAGGCGCGAGCCTCCGGTGCCGACGGGCCAGGGTCCGTCGTGGGCTGGGCCGCCCCCAGCGCCAAAGATGCCGAAGACGCCGACGTCGACAAAGTGGGCGGCCCATCACCAGTCGCCGTGTCCTGGTCGGGCGTGGCCTCCGCCTCGGCCATGGCCGCCCGCAGGTTGGAGGCGTCCTCGGGCGAGAGAGCCCGGATGGCAGCCGCCAGGCGAGGCACTGAAAGGCC